ACCGACGAATTGAATACCTCCTTCTTTTGGGAAGTCGGTCAAAAATATACTTTAAACTGGTCATGGTTATAAGTTATGCAATTTGCGAGTGTCTGTTTGCACTAGTCGGGAACAAGGACACTGGCTTCATATCCAACGGGACGTGACAGTTTTGTTGAACTTTTAGATTCAAGTTGAATTTTAATGCAACGCGTTAGAAAAATGTGATAAAAATATGTATTTAAAATGAATATAGCTATGAGTGATTGAATGTTTTGTATGAGTTTCAGTATCGATTTCATTTGGGTCGAAGGCCGTTTTTAAACAATGGATGGTTTTATGCAACATGAAAAATAAGTCGCTAGTATGTTTTTGTCGTTAAAACGTCTTCTAAAATTCTTACTTAGTACCCACCCGTGATTACAGTATTACCCAAAAGTAAAAATGTTTTAAAAATAATAAAACTGTATAGATATTAAATTATAAAAAAAAATTGAAGACCATAGCAGACACTTTTATATGTACACTAGCTTTCATCTGCGACTCAGTTCGCGTGGAATTAAAAAGACAAAAGTGTGTTTGTGCATATGTATGTACTTCCAGACTATCCTATACATCTATACCAAATTCCATCGAAATCCGTTCAGCAGTTTAGGCTACAAACTCTAACAAACATCCATCTAAACTTTCGCATTTATATTATAAGTAAGATAACATTTTCTAGGCTGGTAAACGCCGCGCCTACGAGTTGGGTAACTTCATACGTACCAGATATGGGGAGTACCTATCCCACCAGTACAATGGCTCCGAGATCTACATTAGATCTACTGACTCCACCCGCGCTAAGATGACTGTACTCGTCGAGATGGCTGGCGTGTACTCCGGAAGACATAGTTGGAGTAATGACGTGAACTGGGTCCCCGTACCTTATACTACGATGCCTTTAAAGTATGACTTTGTAAGTACACAAGATGTGTAGAATAACTTTCGTTTTTTGACTTTTGAACTCCATAAAGTCAAACACTTGCCGCTGTTGATAACACAGGAAGTAACGCAAGTGTTGAGTGAAGTTATAACTTCATATAAATCCGATAACGTTTAAAAGAAAGCAGAATATATAATATTTTTACTTGAACATTGACTGTTTTTTGGCAGAATTACGAATGTTATATGGATGTGTGGTAACACAAATGGGTAAGATACAAAATGAGTATATTAGAGGAAGTTTGAGAGTAGACTCAGACAAGAAGGACGTTAGTTATAAGTGTGGCACATCGGTAGAGGTAGACCTAGAAAGAGATGAATGGATTTCGAGAAAGGTGACATGACCAAGAAGGGAGTAATGACTGAGATGACGGATGATAGAGTTATTAGGAGGACAGAGGAGGAAGGTAGGTGAGACGATATGACTAATTTATTTCTTTTTTCAGGTAATGGGAATGAATTGCCCAAAATTTATGGAACATTTTGATGAAGTTTCTAAAACTTGTGTACCACAGATGCAAAGACACAGTAGTGTTATTGATCGTCTTTCAACTATTCTGAAGATTGATTTAAGAAGTAGACCTGTACAGGTTTATTTCGCATACGACGTGTTCGTGAGTCAGGTGAGACCTCATATTTTATAACCTTCGAAGAAGACTGGGCATTTGAAACTGATAAAGGGTTAAAGCACATTGGTCTGCTTCTGGTTTAGTGAAAGCGCCGCCAAGTTCTCAAAAGAGAGCAGGTATCAGGGCGACGTGTGACGCAATGCGTAACAACTCTTAATGATTTTAGAATTTAAGGAAAGGGTTTTCAATTAAAGTGAAATCTTTATTAGAATTACTTATCTAAATTTTCAGATAAGCATGGGACTTCCAGTTAATCCATCCATCCAAGAAATGATGCCTGAAATCAAAATGGCGGCGGACACGGCGTTCGATCTTCTGTTTGGAAATCGAACGATGTTACCTTTACAAGCTGGTTAGTTTCACCGTACTATCAAAGAATCAACCAATCGATGTCTACTCATTCATTCGTTCATTTCGTTCGTTCCTTTATTTCGGTTTCTTGAGCAGATGTTCCATTTATTTTCGTTTCAATATGTATTCCAATTTCAATGTAAACACAATAAATAGAAAGGCATTACTTTTATTGCTGTATTGTGTATTGTCATAGAAGAGAATTAATTTCTATATTTTCGTTTCTATCATAAATAATATAAAAGCTTTTCAACAGTATTTATGTTATAATTCCAATATATTGTGCGTAACTAAATATTTGTTTGCACTCGATAAAATTTTATTACTTTGATGTTACTGGAATAAGCGTAGCAATTTTTCATATTCTGATAAAAAATTTTTTTTACTCCATAAAGGTATATTTAGAGTAGTTGACTATAGTATAATAACTAAGTCTAGGCTCTGAGCCCCTCGGTTGACACTCTGAGATCTGATGATTATCTTTTTGATAATTGCATGTAGAATCTTAACACAGTCACATACTTTCAGGTCTTCTCTTAAAAGAGTTCTTCGAAGTATCCTTTGCAGCAGTAGCTGGTGAACCATCGCCGAAAATAAGGATATATTCAGGTCATGATATCAACGTGTATGCGTTAGAAGTCATCTCCAGAGTGATGCCTCAGGGTGCTCCACCATACGCTGCACTATTTGCGCTTGAATTGCGAAGAGTGCGTGCAACTGGAAGATATGTAGTCCTGGTAAGTTGACTGTGGTCATTTGTATTTGCAGTCGTAAACGTTCGAAAATTACCTAGCACTAACTACTATCAGGTCAAGTTTTTGTAAATTTCGTGCGGACGATGTCATGAGCAAAAGCTATTTACTAGAATAAACGCAATGGTATTTTTAAAAGTAAACTTTTTCAAAGATACACAAAAACAATTTCCAAAGACAAAGAAAGTGTTCTTTATTGGTACCAGTGAGACTTTTCACCCTTTTATGTACTTTTTCGTTTCCTTCGTCGTTCGGGTGTTTTCAGTCCCCTTAATTGTTTCGACATTTCGTTTGTTGCTTTTATCTTTGTTTTGTTCGTCATTTTATTCATTCTCTATTTCGGTTTGATATTTCGTTGATTGTTTCACACAGTTTTTATTTAATGGATAAATTTCACTTTGTTTTATGACTTTATTTAAAATTTAGCTGTTGCTCGCGACTTCTCCCGGTTGTATATACGTAATAATAAAAAAAACATAGCTTATGTTTTTTTTTTCATATTACAAGGTAGCAAACGAGCACGCGGCCACCTGAAACCGCTGAAATGGCGAAGCGACCGCTGCCCATAGCCATCCGCAATTGCAGATGCGTTGCCTACCCTTAATCGACGGTGGAGGAGACGCGTCGGCTGGGTCGCGGAAGATTGCATAAGCGTTCCCGTGACCCAGCCACAGGCGAACAGAAAGGACACCGCTGGGTTTTTAGTGGGTATTCCGGCCATTTTCCATCTTCTGGCCGGCGAGTCCCACATACCCCCCTGGTAACGGGGGGATGCGTAAAGGCATTTTCCCAGCGTGAAAAAAAAAACGGTGGAGGAGACGCACACAAAGAGGATATTCCCTCTTCTTATGTCACCGTCAAATCCACTTTTCCTTCCCATCCCTTCCTCTTAAAAAAAGGGTGGAAAGTAAAAGGGACTAAAATTAGGCTTTATGTTATTAAAAACGTAGCTTTTTATTCGTGAAAGAATTTTTGTAATCGACCCAATAGTTTTTTCAATACGTACCAAAATACAAATCTTATAATATTAGTATATCTCTTTATAATAGTACAGATGACGTAGTATTTACTGCAAACTGCTGTTTCTATTTAAAGAAGCAAAACAATGGTACAAATCAGTGCACTCGTCTCAGTCGACTCACGTACGTTCACAAACTTTACTGAAGCGAACTGGATTTATTTGTTCGCACGTCCCTGGATACTTGAATGAATTCTTGTTAAAAAATTAAAGCAACTCAATCTTTTGAGTAACTAAAAATTGGCATTTGTTAAGAATGTTATTTAATTTTTTTTTTAAATTATTTAACAGTGGTAGAGCCCGCTTTGACATCTTCGCACGAATCGGCCGGCTCACCCGCTGTAATACCACGACCACACAAGACAGGCGTGAAGTGGAAGCAATTAGGCGTTACGTCTGATGAGTGTGGTGCCAGAGGTCTAATATTAGTCCCTTTCCCTTTCCACCCTTTTCTTAAGAGGAGAGGATGGGAAGGAAAAGCGGATTTGACGGTGGAGGAGACGTGTAGGTAGGGTAAATGTCCTCTTCATATGTTTCCCCGGCTGTTAGACTTCACATCGAAGATGACCATACACTAACCATAATACCCCTTCTATTACCCACGTATCAGTATGTTTCAACGGACGCTTTTTTTATTTTTTATTTTTGTGTCTTTTCAGCCGGTATACGTGAGTTCCCCTGGTGAACCAGTGCAGTACTTGCAAGTGAAAGGCTGTGACCTACTGTGTGATTTGGATAAATTCTACGAGATAACCTCTCCTGACCTGATAGATATAGATGAAAGGAAACGGCGCTGTAACTACGATAGAAACGCTAAGTACAGTGCCGAAGGTCTTGAATGAGTTTACTGTGACGATTTTTAAATAATTGATTTATAGTAATTGTATAGAATAAAGATTGAATCTAATTTTGTTGTTTTTTTTATTTGTCGTATTAAAAGTAGGCGCCTTAGACTAAGCTATCGCCCAACTGCCGTGCCATTGTCGATTGTTTCGCGGCAACTGTTTAGTTGCACAACTAAAAATCAAGTAGTGTGCGCACCTCCATACAAGCTTATAGTAATCAAAGTGCGACTAAACAGTTGTGCGATGGTTTAGTTTCAGGTGTGCGCACACTCTTAATCTGCACTAAAGTCAGAACTTAACGTCTCTGATTACAACAGCTAGTAGACTGCAATTTACATGTTTACTTTCGAAAGAATGTGTGAGATTGCAACATTTTTGTAAGACTATTTCGGCAGCGGAAGCCGACGGTAACAATTACAGTCGTTCACGCAGATGTCAGGCGCGTTCTATTTCCTGACAGCCGCCGGATGTCCGCGGCCCGCTCGCATGAATTATTCAATAGAAGCCTCCGTCGCAGTATTCAGAACTGGAAGGCTTTGCCGCTAATTTTGTGTTCATTCCACAGATCTCTACATATATTATGATACACAGAAAAATACAATTAGATTTGGCAAAATGAATTGTAACATAAACCATTTTTTTTATTTGTAATATAAGGTGGCAAACGAACAAGCGGTAACCTGAATCCATCGAAATGGAGAGCGACCGCTGTCCACAAACATCCACAATTGCAGATGTGTTGCCTACCCTTAATTGACGGAAGAGAACACGCACATAAAAGGGGACATTTCCTATGCGTCTCCACCACCGTCAAATCCACTTTTGATTCCCATCCTTTCCTCTTAAGAAAAGGATGGAAAAGGAAAGGAACTGAAATTAGGCATCCGGTACCAAACTCATCAGACGAAACGCGGAATTGCTCCCACTTCACGCCTGTCTTCTGTGTGGTCGTGGTATTACACCGGGCGAGCCGGCCCATTCGTGCGAAGATGTTAAAGCGGGCTCTACCACTGTTAACTTCCAAATTCGTAATTTACTCTTTACAATAGTAGATACCAGTAACAACAGTAGCACGAATTGACCAGCTGGATCTGCAACGTAAAAACCATACAGAAGACAGGCGTTAAAAGAAACTTACTCTGCATCTCGTCTTATAATCCGTGGACTGATTTTAGTCCATTTTCCCATGCCATTTTTTTATTATAAGTTGAGAATTGAAAGAAGAAATATCCGCTTTCTGTGTAATCATTTGTCATTTTATGACGTAAAACTACTAAAAATACTTAAGTAATGAGTTTAGAAGAGATTTCCCAGTTCTTACAAAGACTAATGAATCTATATAGGTCACTACAACGGACCCTCGAGGCCTGAACACAAGAAAATCAACTCCTGCATCTGAAAGCTGTGTTGCATCGTACGTGACGGGAATAAATTTGATTCGGTTTTATTTACTAGCTCAAGAATGCTTTAATATTCTAGGCTATTTTAAACGCAAATAGCTTAGTGGTTGTGGACATCTAATCATGTGGTCGTGTGTTCAATTCTTTAATGAAATATTTTTGTATGTATTCGATTCACGTAAAAACTACTGGTCCGATTTCAAAAATTCTTTCACCATAAGAATGGTAATTTATCTGTGAGTAACATGGGCTATTTTTTTTTTAATTCGACGCCGGCGAAGTCGCGATCAACAGATAATTTAAAAATAATACACTATAAGTTTGACGTCCCAGTTTCGGTAATGGAAATCGACTGTTATACAGGGTGTCCTTTAATTAATGATTAAACCTGAAACCCCATATAGATTCCCCATCAAGGATTTAGAGAGAAATAAAATATCTAAATAAATGCGTATGTACGTATTCGATCGTAAATAATTTTCAGTATTAAAATAGTGAAGCGGCGAAGCGTAATTTTAAAAAAATGTTCACGTAACAAAACTATTCGAATTCAGTTTAAATTGAATTGTTTTTAAAGTCAATATTACACTTGCAAATAGCACGTTTGTTTTTTAAACATCATCCTTTTAAATTGGCGCAGTAGTAGTTTTATTATTACTTTAAAATGGTGATTATGAGAGTCCCTAAGTGAAGATATTAAGTACAGATCGGTTTAACGTTTAGATAAAACATTAAACAACAATATAATCACACACGTTTCTCAGAAGGGTAGGTAGAGACCACAAACCACTGAAAAATCGGATAGAAACTTAATAACTAAAAAGTGTTTCCCATAAGCTTTATGACAGGTTTCCCAGACACATTTAACAATTCGTTTTTGGTTCAACTTAAATAATCCTAAACTAAATAAAGGCCAAAGTTTAGAGGGATGGATGGATGTTTGTTAGAGTTTGTAGCCTAAACGGCTGAACGGATCTCAATTATATTTTGCACAGATGTAGAGGATAGTGTGGAAGAAAAGATAGGCTACTTACTTTTTATTTTATTAATTCCACACGGACGGAGTCGTGGGCTAAAGCTAGTATCTTCATAAAATGCCTTTCTGAACTCCGTTGAAATTAAGGTCCACCTAACACTAAAGAAAACAGAATCCAAGCATTAGCCAGCCAATTCTATACTAATCCAGAAATGTTCAATCAGAGAGGTTCGATATCCTCTCAACGTGCGCTTTAAGGTTATATCGGTGCAACGACTTTACAAGCTTTAACTTGCTAATCGAATCCTGTAGCGTAATTAGCAAAGCGCTTTCCGTTCAATGGCTTGGAGCTTTTGATGTTCTAAAATTAGGAATCACTAAATACATAAATACTAGCTGTTCCCGTGCGGCTTCATCCACATGCATATATAATAACTTTATTTTATTATATACATTTGTCGAATTCTCAATTGCAAATATCAAAATACCTTATTATGGCAATTTGTCTTCCTTGATGTTGGCAGCAACTTATGGCCTCTTTCCCACATTAGGGATTTTACCCAAAATATTTACTCCCTAAGTTTATTGCGTGAAAATATATAGCTTAAAGCGTGACGTAAGTGTAGGGCTTTTTATTAAAAAGAGAACTATTCACAAATATGCCGTAATTGCTGAGATCTTAGGCAACAAAGATGTGTGTTTACGCTTCATTGTACTCGTAATAGTACTAGCTGTTCCCGTGCGACTTCATCCGCATGAAATTATAACAAAAATATTTTGTTGCTTGCATTTGTCAAATTCTTAATTGCAAATGTCAAAATACCAATTACCTTTCTATGGCGTGATCCCCCAGCATGATTGCTGCCATGATGTTGACAGCAACTTATGGTCTCTTTCCCACATTAGGGATTTTCATCCAAAACATTTACCCCCTAAGTTTAATGGCGTGAAAATATATAGCCTAAAGCGTGACGTAAGTGTAGGGCTTTTTATTAAAAAAAAGAATTATTTAAAAATATGCAGTAATTGCTGAGATCTTAGGCAACAAAGATGTGTGTTTACGCTTTATTATAATGTATAGATTTTAAATATCTAACAAGATAAATTAGATACAGATACTCGATTTCCCTTTACTCGTGAGCTATGATTGTAAATCGAATTTCGTTTAATAGCAATTCCAATGCTGAAGGAGAATGCAGCAATATTCCAATTTACGTTTGTGATGTTACCTTGTACTATATTGAAATCGTAACAAGGAATAAAGGAAAACAGATTTTTTAAGGATTCATCCTGCGATTTCTTCTGCAGAGAACTAAAAAAAATGTTATAAATACAGCCCATCTAATAATACTTTCTAATGTTTTATAAGCTTTATAATTGCAAAGGAATTTTTTTAATTGCTCCGCTAGTTTTAAGTTTAAGTAAGTTTATTCGTTATTAAAAATATTATTGTATATGATGACAATGAAGTACTTTTTATTTTATTTTTATATTATCTTTAAGATGAATCCGATTAACTATATTCCGACACTTGAAATGATTATTTAAAACAAAATTCTCATTAAAAAAATATACAATGTAAATTCAAATCAAAATTAAAATTTAATAAGATAATGAAAAGCAAGACAACAAAGACGAAATAAAATCCAAATCCGCCATCTTGTGAGCGAAGTGACGTCATCCCGGAGTTCGTAGTTCAACGAATTTGATACCACAGTACAGCTTTTAGACTTTGTATGAAATTTCAGTGCATCCTTTCAATGCGGCGGAGGTAAAAGTTTGACAGGTGACGTTTTGAAAGCTCTCTTGTTTAAACGAATTTGTCGAATGTCGGATATTTATATGGAATAGAAGACATTTTGAATGATGAAGCACTTAGTTTAATATGGTAGCGAAAATAAAGTAATAATAACTATAGTTTAAAATGTTTACTTAAGTATGATATCTTACTGCGCGGTTCACACTTGGCCAGGCAATCAACTGGCACAGTGTCAACGCTAACTGGCATCATCGAGTCCATACAAATTATAACTGGCTGTCGCAACTATCCAACAGTTCTGGTAAAGTGGGAACCACGCATAACATGTTACAAATGCATTCTAAGATTTTAAAGTTGGTTTAGTATACTTTAATTAATTCTTACAGACTCTTAACAGTGGTAGAGCCCGCTTTAACATCTTTGCACGAATAGGCCGGCTCGCCCGGTGTAATACCACGACCACACAGAAAACAGGCGTGAAGTGGAAACAATGCCGCGTTTTGTTTGATGAGTGTGGTGCCGGAGGCCTAATTTTAGTCCCTTTCCCTTTCCACCCTTTACTTAAGAGGAAAGGATGGGAAGGAAAGGTGGATTACACGGTGGAGGAGACGCATAGGAAAGGGAAACGTCCTCTTTATGTGCGTCTCCTCCTCCGTCAATTAATGGTAGGCAAGGCAATCTGCAATTGCGGATGTTATTGGGGAGCGGTCGCTTCAATTTCGGTGGATTCAGGTGGCCGCTTGCTCGTTTGCCACCTTATATTATAAAAATACATAAAAAGTATATTTTTCTCCTAAGTTTGCATTATTATGAACTAAAAATTCTAGTAAAATAACCGCAATAGCAACATCTAGACTACATTACGAGGAAGTCCCCGTTATAATAGCAATGAAGTATTGGCCTATATAATTGCCATTGTCCGCGCAATGCGCCTGGTATTCCACGCGCTTTTGTTATCCTCAAATTACACGAACATTCTGCCATAGTCCTATTCAAATATAATAACGGCTCGGGATTTTGAAAAAGACAGAGTACAATTGCATGCTTTCAGTTTTCCTGACATCGACTAGATATCACGAGCCTGCATTAAGTTTGAATCTGGTAATACATAAATGTGTTCTATTTTTATATCTAGATTTTAATGTTGTGTTCTAGATTTTTATTCATTAAGCTGGTTGATATTAAAGAGTATTAATTAAGAGTGCAGTGAAATTCTACTCTAATTGCGGCGATAGATAAAATAATAGTGGAAGTGGTAAACAAACTACGAACAAGACTTGAGTTGTTTAGCATACCATTGCGAGTCGACTTGCAAACTTGTACAATGCACATCTACAACATATACCAAGTTCTGAACATAACTGTGGAGTTTAAACTATGCTAAACTCGACTGCAGTTCAATTTTACATTGGCCTGAAACATAAATTAATTTAGGTATCTACATTCTCACGCCTGTAACCCGGCCTAACAATGCGAGCTGCGGCACGATGAATTTTTTTTTTCTTTCCTTTTGAACGCCCGGAAATATTGAGTCTACTAAACTAAAAAATAAAGCTATTTTAGCAGTTAATAGATTGAAGTTATATGAAGCGAGTAATAAGAAAGGTGCTTATATCGATAAATAAAAACATTAAAAAATCATGTAGCGCCTCTATCGGACGTATAGTACACCAACAAATCTAATGAAAAATTTTGTTGATGGCGTTATGAACACGTGCTTGCTTATTATTATTATTTTCTTGTCAATTAATAATTTAACGAAGCTGCCATCTCTTATTGAAAAGAAAAAATACATTTTTTTACTCCTTTTACAGCAATAGATGGCGCTATACAAAACTGATTTATTTAAATTGTTCAGCAACATATTAATTTTAAATACTTTTATTTTAAAGTTATTTATCGGAAGAATTTTTATTTACGCAATAGTTGCCTCAAATAGAAATGTTTATCATAGTTTCCCATATAATTTGTGAACTAACTTGCTTTCATAGTCTTTGACAACAGTGCCATCTACTGTGGAATAGCAAGATCTACGAAAAATTCACATTCTTAAAAGATTCACATCTGACATGTAGATGGCGCTAATTTCTGATTTCAATATTTGTGAATTTGAACACTAAAATTTTATTACCTTAAAATGTGGTTAATATTAAAAGGTATAGGAAAAAAATGTTTAATTTGTATCCTTTGCATTAACATATTTATATACATGTCTTTTGATATTAACCGTGCAAGCAACATATATTTGGATATACTTGCACATTTTTAAATAATGATAATGACGTTTAAAAAAAACTAAAACACTTCAAGTAGATATTGATTTTGAAGACAATTGTAAGTAATCGAGGACGCCCTTTCGAAATTATCGAATGAAGGATAACACCATTAATCCTCCTAAATGCTCGTCTTCGACTCATAAAACGCTTCAAGAGATTGGGGCCACAAAAATGGCTAAATCTAGGTACATAGATGCGTTTTTTTATGTTTTTTTTATTAGTTTTGAATACAAAATGTCAATCAATAAGTGAAAGGTTTTAAAATATATTATTAAACTAGCTTTCGCCCGCGATTTCGTTGGCGTGGTCTTAAAAAAATTAAATAGCCTATATAATTTTCCAGACTTTGCTCTACATTTATGTCAAATTTCATCAAGATCCGTTTAGGCTATAAACTCTTTTATGTTTATTATTATGAACAAAAATATCTTACTGTAAGTGGGACATAAATTGTGACTGGCCATGATACGCTATTTTCGTGGCCCCAAATAATGGGATAGCAGACATTAAATCACAAGTGCCGTAGCAGTGATTATTATTTCGCAAACTTTGGGAATGGCTGTTTGAATCGTCGCTCCTTCTAATCGCTTCCAACAAATCGAATTTTAAAAGTGGGGTGAGCAGAACGAGTAATTATCCTTGTTTGTCTAACTTTTAGGAAGTGAAGGATTTCGGGGATGGAATATTTTTTTCTAAATAAATATATTCAAAATTATCCAATTGAAAATTATTTCGCTTATCGAATGATGATAACCTTTACAATAGTATAGATCAATTTTATGAGTAGACTAGTTGTTGCCCGCGACTTCTATACTAAGATAAAAATTCAATACTGAGATAAAAAGTAGCCTATAACGTGCCCGTCTTTGTCGGCTACCCTTCAGTGAAAGTCTGGTCGAAATCGGCCCAGCCGTTTCTTAGATTACCCGGAACAAACGCGGCTTGCGGACAAACAGACAGACAAAAAAAATGGCGATTTCCGTGATCAGCAACGCAAATACATCATCTTCCCGAAATCTGGAATATTTCTTTTGATATTATAAACAGACATTAATACAATTTTATTATATGTACAGTTTTTTTAAGTTCCTTTACAATTCGTAATGCGTTTGTTTATTATTTTATCTTGTACTTTAGTGTTTGTTTAATTAGGATGTTTTAGACTATAACTCGGTAAAGCCACTGGTAAAAGCTAGTATGTATAATTAATTGCAATATTGTTTTCTAAATATCAAATTGCCATTGAAGTCGTAAAGTGTTATTACGCGAATGACATAAAATTGTTTTATTGTCATACTAAGCGTCTCGCAGCGACATTTCCTTTAATGTTTCATTTTATTGCTGAAATACTGTAAATTGTTGTGTTTGAATTCTTTTAAATCATTTTTACAATTAAAAAAAAAACAAGAAAATCAACCAGGCTTCGTATAGACTAGATGTTCCCGTGCGGCTTCATCCGCATGAAATTGTGAAAATTTCATTTTATTGTTTACATTTGTCAAATTATCAATAGAAAATGTCAAAATGACATGACATGACAAACCTTGGCAATCTTGCTTGATGTTGGCAGCAACTTATGGTCTCTTTCCCACACTAGGGTTTTTATCCTAATTATTTACCCCCTATGTTTAATAGCGTGAAAATATATAGCCTAAAGCGTGACGTAAGTGTAGAGCTTTTTATTAAAAAAAGAATTATTAAAAAATATGCTGTAATTGCTGACATCTTAGGCAACAAAGAAGTGTGTGTTTACGCTTTATTATAATAGTATAGATATAGATAATAAATCTACAAAATAATTAGAAAATAACCACTACATATTTATAAAGGACCAATAATAGTGTAGGGTAGAAATGGGCAACCGCCCTCGACATTTGACTAAGGGCGATACAAGTTTGCGATAACACTCAACTAATACTCTTAACGCCCTCTCCCTTAGTCATGGAAAATCGTCAGAAACCTTGCCCAGGGCGCTAGTAGGGTTAGAACCGGCACTGATTATAATGAACTCTCTAAAAAATACCTTAAGAGTGTTATGGAGTAATTTAACTGTTCTCTATCGCCCCTTTCTGTTAGAAGCCCTGGGCGCCCTACGCCCTATTTTAACTACTCGAAATATTATAAAGTACACAATAATATCTACAGCATATATTACCTACAATAGCGAACCCTAAATTCTTTTACGTAGTTTTGTCATAACAAGTAATATAAAAAAGATTTTTTATAGGTTATAAAAATATCTAACTAATTAGTAAAATACCATCAAACAGGATATAAGTTTTGCTACACGTGTATACTCTTCCATTTCTATTAATTTTCTATTACCGTAATTCTTAGAAATGATATTAACACTAGTATTACTTTTAAATATATTACATCGAAACGATTGTACATATGTAATTTCAGTCTACGGAGATGTGTACAAAGATACCAAGTTTTTTAGCAAGACTTACCCCTGGCTGATAGACAACATTGGGGGTGAGGTTGTAGTCGATTATTACCTGCTAGGAAGTGGCAGGTACACTGTACCTCAAATGTGTGCGCTTAACGAACTAAGGCTCAACACATTCCTTCAAGCGCAGTTCCTGAAATGTGAAGCAGAAGGTAATTTTTACATAACTTTTAACAGTAACACAAATTTTTAACAGTGGCTAGCCCGGTGCAATACCACGACCACACAGAAAACAGGCGTGAAGTGGAAGTAATTCTGCGTTTCGTTTGATGAGTGTGGTTCCGGACGCCTAATTTTAGTCCCTTTCCCTTTCAACCCTTTTCTTAAGAGGAAAGATGGGAAGGAAAAGTGGATTTAACGGTGGAGGAGACGCATAGGAAGGGGAAATGTAATCTTTATGTGCGTCTCCTCCTCCGTCAACTAAGGATAGGCAACGCATCTGCAATTGCGGATGTTTATGTGCAGCGGTCACTTTCCATTTCGGTGGATTGAGGTGGCCGCTTGCTCGTTTGCCATCTTATAGTATATAAAAAAAAATTCAACATAAATTTTCTTAACGTAAAGAATTACATTGTGATACAATCTGTAAAGAATCCAATGATATGTAGCTATCAAATGCAGCGTGGCTAAAGGCATAATGAACCTTAAGCTCTGACCCCATTAATGTCGTATTTTGCTTAATTAACTACTTAGTAAAGAAGGGAATGATTAACATTGGTAAGCAATACTAGTATACATTCGAAATAACACTTGCCCTACACAAATTAGGTCTGAATTACACAATGTATACAACGTGTAAATGTATACAAGGTGTAAAATTTTACGAGGTGTATCATTTATACAAAGGTTACAAAAATTAGTAGCTGAATACAATTTCTTCCCCACAGGTAATTCGAATGATATATGCATTTGTGACACCGGTTTGGACACAGAAAGGTTGAGACATTGCATCATAACTAAGGGATCTCTAGCAAGTTTCGCCGCTTCGAAGTTCCACCAAATCGGTATAGATGCGAGTCCTCTTGTTGAAATTGGACCTAGGAACACGATATTCGAAGTCGAGGACAATTGGTATTTAAAGAAAATCTGCACAATATTCGGAGATAATCAACCAAGGGGCTGTATAAAGCCTTTTTCGTGTAACTATACGGAAAGTGAATATGATATGACGTGGTCCAATCATATTGATTGTACAAAATGTCGGCATAATTCACCAATAACATCAACAACTACGTCTCTTGGTACAACTTATGCATATTCCTAGAATTAATTATTATAATCTATTACTTTTATACATAAATTTGAATAAATATTTACTTTCAGAATAACATTTAAATTAACTACTAATGGGAAATATTTTATCAAAACAGAATCAAAGCAATTTCTTGGTGTATGAAAACCAAGCTTCAGGAAAACATCAAACGAATGTTGTGACCCAATTCGATAATATCCGAAACGAACAATTCTATTGTGTTACAGATATCGTTCAAAGCTATTGTCGACGAACAATAATACTGCTTTTCAAATTACTCCTTTATTTTATAAGTTGGCAAACAAGCAAGCGGCCACTGAATCCACCGAAATGGATTGCGACCGCTGCCCATAAACATCCGCAATTGCAGATGCGCTGCCTACCCTTAATTGACGGAGGAGGAGACGCTCATAAAGAGGACATTTCCCCTTCCTTTACGTCTCCTCCACCGTCAAATCCACTTTTCCTTCCCATCCTTTCCTCATAAGAAAAGGGTGGAAAGGAAAAGGGACTAAAATTAGGCTCCTTTAATGTTCCTGATTGACCTTTACTATTTTAAAATTTGGCATTTTTAATGCGACAAATTCTTTGACACACTATCAGAGAAAGATGGGATTGGAACGGTACTAAAATTAGGCCTCCGGTACATTGATTTGTTTCCAATCGCAGGTTAGGTACGAATTGCAAATTACAATAGGTTTAAAATTAAGCCTCAAACAAAACTTTTAGTTCTTTAATTATTTCACTGCGCACTATTTTTGGTCTTCAATCTTACTATCTTACTTCTTACTAATGTTATAAATGGGAAAGTTTAGATGGATGGATGTTTGTTAGAGTTTGTAGCCTAAACGGCTGAACGGATGTCGATGAAATTTGGCATACATGTAGTTTGGAAAAACACTTAGGTTACTTAGTTTTTTTGTTAATCCACGCGGACGGAGTCGCGGGCGAAAGCTAGTTTTCTGATAAAATTGTTTATGAAAATAACCAGCGTTAAATTATTTCCTTTTAATAACGACGTTGTTATAAATCAGCGAAGTATACAAAATTCTTAGCTCTAATAATTTTATTATACGATTTCGTCGGCCTGTGATCGCGGAGGCGTGGCTCCAGATTTCAATTTGGTTGATTATTTTATTAATGCTTCACGGCGCTTTCTTTTGCACCGATTATTACGAACTTTTTTAATTTTAATCTGAACATCGTTCAAATCATTTTGAAGTTTGTTTAAAAATAAATGCCGAGAGTGCGAGATGTATACTTTTTCTGAGTATTGGTTAATGAATTTGAACTAATACATAGAAAAATCTTGAACCGACATAATTTTCGAATCTTATACAATACGTTGCTCGCGACTTCGTCCGCGTGGTATTAGAAAGTATACGAACTATACAAATTTCAAAAAGCTACATATCCCTCGGGAACCAGACATTTCTCGGAGATGAAGCTTATCCCATGTATACTCCAGACTTTGTTTTACATCTGTTCCAAATTTCAATAAGATATGTTGAACCGTTGCGGAATGATCGAGTAAACATTAAAAAACTAATTTTTTTTTATAACATAAGGTGGCAAACAAGCAAGCGGCCACCTGAAATCGCCAAAATGGCGAAGCGACCGCTGCCCATAGACATCTGCAATTGCAGATGCGTTGCCTACCCTTATCCGACGGAGGAGGAGACATACATAAAGAGGATATTTCCCCTTCCTATGCTTCTCCTCCACCGTCAAATCCACTTCCTCTTCCCAACCTCTATAAGAAAAGGGTGGTAAAGGGAAAGGGACTTAAATTAGGCCTCCGGCACCACACTCACATCAGACGAAACACGGAATTGCTTCCATTTCACGCCTGTCTTCTGTGTGGTCGTGGTATTACACCGGGCGTGCCGGCCCATTCGTGCTAAGATGTTAAAGCGGGCACTACCACTGTTAAATTAATGAATCCCACGGGAACCGTAACTATTCCCGGGATAAAAAGTATCCTATATGTTCTTCCAGACTATGCTCTAAACCTGTGTCACATTTCATGGAGATCTGTTTAGCCGTTTGGGCTACAAACGCTAACAAACATCCATCCATCCATCTAAACTTTCGCATTTATAATATTAGTATGATGTTGCTTAGTGATAACTTAGTTTTTTATTGATGTAAGAATTTTCGAAATCAGCCGATTAGTTTTTGAGTTATTACAATACATACAAAATACAAATCTTTTCTTTTTACATTTTTAGTATAGAGTATAGATTTAAGCTATGCTTCTAGGTGTTAATTTATCAAGTCATAATTAGTGTTGAAAGTTAATTTATTTGTCTTTTGTAATTTGCTCGGATGTGAAATTAAATTATCTCGTAGCGTAGATAAACATTATTTACAACGAAATTATAATTACATCGGACGGGTCGTGCGGGATATTAAAACTAAATTAGCTAACTTTTGTGTCACACTAAATTATTAAAACTAACTTAGTTATAATCTAAACGAAGTTGTAAAGTGCCCCTCAAACTTTTTACACTACGTCGTAATTTTAATACGTACCTCGTAGACTCGGAGCATACTTTAAATTAGCAATACTGTTAACTGCATACGAGAATGTTAAGATGGATGTGTGGATACGAAATGAGAAGTTTGAGAGTAGCCCCAGTAGTAGAGAAGGTAAGGAGTAAAAGGTTAGCATTGTATGGGCATGTTATGAGGAGGGATAAATCGTATGTTATAAGAACGTTAGTTATGACTGTGGAGGGGTACATCGGTAGAAGTAGACCTAGAAAGAGATGGATTGCGTAAAAGGTGACATGATCAAAAAGGGAGTGATGACTGAGATGACGTATGATAGAGTTATTATGAGAACAAAAACCTGTTGTGCCGACCCTACGGGAGTAGGATAAGGAGGAAGATGATGATGATGACAGTTAACTACATAACCATGTATACAAAGCTCCAGAAACTTTTTTTCACCGGATTAGTCCCCGTCCGTCACCTCGTTCTGTCCCCACATGACAATAACAAGTTTTATCCGTCCTAAATCCACTTCCCCTTCCCATACTCTCCTTATAAGAAAAGGATGGTAAAGAGAAAGGGACTTAAATTAGGCCTCCGGCACCACACTCATCAGACGAAACACGGAAATTGCTTCCACTTCACGCCTGTCTTCTGTGTGGTCGTGGTATTACACCGGGCGAGCCGACGTATTCGAGCTAAGATGTTAAAGCAGGCTCTACCACTATTAAAAACTTTAAACTTTAAACCCACCATCACCAATAAGGTGACTGATGGAACCGTTATGGAATAAATTAAGTTCCCACCGTCCTCGTCGCAAAAGGTGGGACGGATGAAACTTTTTATTCTCATCTGTCTCCACGTGGGGACAGAGCGCGGTGACGTAAAAGCTTTTATAAATATAATTGCTTTTTATAAAAGCTATTATCATTCAACTACTAAAAGCGCTAACAACTCTGTTAAATATTACCTGACTGTTCTCAGCAATTTCCGGTAATTTGGTGATGGAAAGAGGACATATTTTTTTATTCATATGCTAAATCGAATGCGATTATTTTAATCTAAGCTATTGGTCCATTTGCAAGTCGATTTATTCCAGCATTCATTCGCTTTCATACAAAAAAATCACCTCACTTAAAACATTTATTTTAAGCAGAGAGACCTGATTAAAAAAATCTATAGCTTTTGCCCGCGAGTTCATCAGGAACTAATTAAAAAAAATAAGTAGCCCATGTTTTTTTAGACTATCGATGCCAAATTTTGTCGAAATCTGTTCAACAGTTTAGGCTTAAAACTCTAACAAACATCCATCCATCTAAACTTTCGTATTTATATTAGTAAGATTGTTAATTTATTAATATTTCTTGTATCCAATGCAAGTAAGCCTAATGCATGTTAGAGCGCGCACATCTTTGACTAAACTGTCGCACAACTGTTCAGTCTCTCAGCTTATATGAAGGTACACTTCTCGATTTTTAGTTGTGCAACTAAACTGTATTGCCTGCGAAATTATAGACAATCATACAACAGTTGTGCGATAGTTTAGTAAAATGTGTGCGCCCGCTTTAATTATTTGACGGTTAGACCTACGCTTTTAGTACTTTAGTTTTAATTGATTATTTCCTTTTAACGTTTTATGTCTACATTAAGACCGTAAGTGGTCATTTCTAGATTCACTATGAAGCTTCGTTAAAAGCTACTGGGATGGAATTTACGACGTACGTAGAGTGTTTGTGGCCTACTTGTGATATCCAATAGCTACTTTTTCTTTAGAAAACTATAGTTTTATAGAAAAAGTCGAAAATAGTATAGTAGAGGAAGAAAGGGGCAAACGATGACCTCTTTATGTTCTCCTCCGTCAATTAAGGGTAGGCAACGCATCTGCTATTGCGGATGTTTATGGGCAGCGGTCGCCTTCCATTTCGGTGGATTCAGGCCGCTTGCTCGTTTGCCACCTTATATTATATAAAAAAAAAACGAGAAACAAGAACACCGAGATGTTCATCGACGTCGATGGACTTCAACAAAACCAGAGGAAATGCAGATGCGTTGCCGGCCTTTGAGAATGTGATTGGCTTCTTGAAGGACCTTAAGTCATAGATGGCTACAAAGTTACTAGAAATGCATACAAAATATGTATTGATTATCATCATCATCATCATCATCATCATCATCATCATCATCATCATCTCCTTATCCTACACCCGTAGGGTTGGCGCAATAGGTTTATGTCCTCCACATAACTCTATACGTCATCTTAGCCATCACTCCCCTTATAATCATGTCACCTACCTCTACCGGTATACCCTTCCACACTCATAACTAACGTTCTCCTTGTAACATGCGATTCATCCCTCCTCATTAAGCATGTATAGATTATGTAAAAGATGAAACACGTATGATAGAGATGTATGGAAGAGAATGCAAGGCAAGGAACAGGATTGAAATTAGCTACACATTGTGTAATAAATACGTACAATAATGTAACCACTTATAAACACTGAACTACCATAGAGTAGAGAATGTAACAGAGGGGTCGCGAAAACAATAGGCAGTCGAGTGCACTTGCATGGAGCACTAGGCGCATGCGACAGACATTTCATCCGTAGCGTAGTGGAAACCGCGGCTTTTAATTGTTCGGGATATCTATAGAGTTGTTCATATCAAAGTTTGTCTGTTTTAGAATTTTTAAGCACTAATTTTCTGTATTTTGGCTATATTACTAGTTTTTTGTATTTTTATAAATCTATCATAATATATACTAATATTATAAAGAGGAAAGATTTGTATTTATATATGTATTGAAATAACTCAAAATCTACTTGACTGATTTCAAAAATTCTTTCACCATTAAAAAGCTACGTTATCAGTGAGTAATATAAGCTTCTATATTCTTCACATTTTTTAAATTTTACGCGAGTGAAGTCGCGAGCTACAGTTAGTATATCATAATTACATTTTATTGTTTTAGTTTGATTGTTTGTTAGGGCAAAATATTGTATGTAAAAGTAACTGTTAATATTTTTTTGGTAATTCACGTGATTAAGAAAACAATTTTGTTTAATATTTCTTGTGTAGTTGGGATTATCAGCTCTATAAATATATTAAAGTAGCCGCTAACTATCATCCTCTTGTCTGATCATAAATGTTTGCAACTGATATCTACCACATTGGTGGAATGGACTGAACATGTCTGTATGTATTCCTAAAATGTATTTGTAAATCAGAAATGTTACAATGCCGCTTCACAATTTTACAGTGGCTCTGGACACTGGCCCAATCCGCTGAGGGAGAGCCATAAACAAGAAATAGAATAAAATACTATGGCAAATATTTCGATATTAAACTATACTGGACAATAACTGAAATATACAAAACAACAGACCAAGAGAGGTCTCTATGCTTGTCTCAAATATACCACACAAGCTTTCGCCCGCGACTCCGGCCGCGTGGAATTAAAAAATAAAACAAAAATGAGTAGCCTATGTGTTTTTTCAGACTATCCTCTACACCTATACCAAATTTCATTAAAATCCGTTCAGCCGTTTAGGCTACAAACTCTTACAAACATCCATCTAAACTTTCGCGTTTATAATCTTAGTGTGAAGTATGATTGCTATCATGGCCTTTTACAAAAGTCAATACAACAACCGTATTCACCGATTTTCTGCAATACTATACTTTACTTGTTTTTTATAACAAAAAGAAGAACAATCGACGTAACAATCGACTATCGCACAACTGATGTGCGATCGTCGATTGTTTCGCTGCCAATTCAATTGTTTATTTGCATAACCAAAAATCGAGTAATGTGCGCACCTCCATAGAAACTCATAGAAATAGCGAGACTAAACAGTTTTGCGATAGTTTAGTCAAAGGCGCTGTTAGTGTTTTCATTGACGAAATTCCAGGTGTTTTCTAACTACTTATGATAGTAAGTAAAGGTTACTTTGCGGAACGTAAATTGGAAAAGTTTCTCTATAAAATAAGGTTTGAACTATGTAGCTAAAGAGGGCGATATCACAAAGCAAATAATTCGTAAAGTCTCCTATATTTATTGCCAGAGTAACTTGTAAACTCTCCTGTAAACTTGGAAGGGGGTGGGAAAGTAAGTCACCATACACGGACAGTTTCAACCGAGTATGTTAACTTTTTAACAGCAGTAATGCTGTTTATAGTACTTGCAGTTCGTGTACCGCGGCCCTTATAGTGGCAACTTTCAAGTAGCGAGAACAATGAAAGCAACTTATATATTGCTTCTTATAGCCCCTAACTATTCGAAGTTTCGCAATAAATTTAAATGTGAATATGTCGTTTAAAGAAAGGAAGAGGAAGCGAGGGACGAGTTTGGAATAAAATTGGACGCCCATCACACCGTGATGTAATCTTTAAACTGTTTAGTAATTTATTTACAATTTTTTTTGTAGATGTTTATTACAATGCCGTTTATTAAATTGCGTTACTAAAAAGTGAATAATAGCTTTTGTGTGAAAATATTATCGTTTACATGACACAAATTTTATAACTAGGAATATGACTGTGTTAATTTTGTTTAAAATTGGTCAACAAACAATCTTAAATGATCAATATTAGGATTTTTATTTTAATCCCCAGATCATTTTAAAATTAAATTCAGTTTTCTACATATGAATATTTGAAACACTTCTTTGAATAAAAAAAAAACAACTTAATGATAACTTCTTCCAATTTATAATACTTCGGTGTGATCGACAGCCAGTTTGAGATAAAGCGCAGCAAAATTGTTTTCATCGCAGCGGGCCCAAAACTTATCCTTCATACTAATGCTTTAATATCTCTCACATTTATTACTTTTCTTAAGTCATAAATTGTTATTTTACAATGTTACTTATTATATTGAACCGTGTTAAGTTTCGGTTGAATTTAAAAGTATCTCTACATAGAAAAATGTGTGGTATTTACAAATGTATTACCACTTTAACAACCTTTACCCACAACGAGAAACGCTAGGTGAACCATTAGTCATGATAGTTTTAACTGATCAGTCAGACTGAACAGTTAATCGGACGTGTATAGTCAAAACTGTAAACACAGTTTGACAGATACGTTGCGTTTTTAGGTTTAAAAGGTGTATAACCAGCTTTATTTAGGTATATTAGACTTCGCTGGCTGAGCCACTTGATGAGAATGGGGAGGATCGTGGAGCCAAAAAAGCGTATCTCGGAATATCGATTGGCTGCCGACCTGTCATCCGGCCCAGATACCGCTGGCGAGACGCCGTAGAGCTGAACCTACGCGAGTTAGAGTCGATCGGTTGGTAGGCGACGACGCAGGACAGAAGAGGCTGGCGGTCTCTTGTGTCGGCCAAGACCCACTTCGGGTCGCTGCGCCAACGCAGTAAGTAAGCTTTATTAAGTTTTTATTGAAATTATTATTTTGTACGACCTTAGTAAGTTAACGAGATTTTTAATTGCATTTTAGTACACCCATTGTTTACAATAATCACTGGTTATTATCAGAAAGTAATTAACAGTACAATAGTTAACACCCGCCTTCTGCCTTTAAGTCACTCTGAGTTTTGTAATGAGTTAACATCAGATGGATCACATCGTACGGATGCAGATATGAATGAGAGCAGAACAGAACTACAAAGAATAGTATGGTAAAGAAGAGGCGACGGAGAGAAGATGAGTCCAGTGGATAGATAAAAAAAATTTTACTTGTCCACGGGTCGTTAATTTTTCCTCTTTCTGCTAAGTCCTCTTTGAAATCATTGCTCTAATGTTTAGCTTTAGTCTGAATATAAAAGGAATTTTAAATGAATTGCTTTCATTAACAAAAGAAATACTATCCATGGACATCTAAGGGTATGTTCAAACTAAATAGACTGTGGAAAGCATCTACCTGTCATGGTATTACGTGTCTAAATGTGTTTTTTCTGCTGTGATCGCTAAATTAAATGAATTAGATGCACACTACATTTCATTCACACACTCATAGTGAGCTAATTCATAACCATTCAATTCATACATTCATTCAAATCATACGTTCAATGTGATCAATACCTTAGTCACTTGTTTTACTCTTTTATTCATAAAAGTAATATTTTTATTTTAAAACACAAACACTTGGCCTCTTTAAGCCTTGTTAAGAAAATAACAAACGTGAAAAGAAAATGTAAAGGAAAGAAAAATAATAAGATGAAAGCCTCATCTTTTGTCTTGTGGAAGTTGAATTTATTTTTGTCCACCTTATTTTAATGTTTGTAAAGTTAGTTAAAAAGTGTATAATGTTGTGAATGATGAAGATTCAAATGTTACTAATAGATGGCGTTATTAATGGTTTTAATTGAAGCAATTAATGGTCCTTTGAGCCGGATATTTTCCACCACAAATTAAATTATTTTAACTTTATTTCAATACAGTTTGCTGCAATCTAATAACAGATAATAAGTTAAAAAAATTAATGCCTAAAGATATAGAAAAATATTATTATTATTGTTTTGTTGATGACAAATAGCTTTCGGGTTTCATAGAGGTTCAGTTAGGGGATATTTGAGCTCTAAGCGTGCCCGTGGCCCCAGCCAATGCTTTGGAGGAACCGAGGGGTTAGTGGGTATGCCTCACAAGAGGAGAATCCCACATAACTGAGGGGGACGGCAGTATGCATTAAGCATTCCTCTCGGGCAAAAAATTTGAGTTACAGATGTTTAAACACATTTTTATCTAATTAAATAAAAAAAAACCCCAATTAAAACTGTTTTGTCGATTTATCTTTTTAAGCGTAGGATAATTCGTATATCAAAAAAGATAAGATACTTGAAGTTGATAGATATAGTAAATTACATCAATCGCAAACCGTGTGTTAAAATGTCGAAGTTAAAAGCAATTTCATTTCTTTTTCTTTTTAATATATTAACAGTTAGTGCTAAAAATGAGGAATATATTGGGTATGTATTCGATATTATTTTTAATATTGATTCATGGCGGACTATTTGATGACATGGTATGACAAAATAATGTTTACAGCGTGCAAACACATTTGTATATACCTATCGCATAACTGTTTAGGTCTCGTTTTGATTCCTATAAGCTAATATGGCGGCGCGTAAACTACTCGATTTTTAGTTATGCAACTAAACAGTTGAATTGTCTGCGAAACAATTGACAATCGCACAACAGTTATGCTATAGTTTAGTCAAATGTGTGCGCGCGCTCTTAAAGTCTAGTCATGACATCCAAGTGCTGTCAATCTTGAATTAGGATTATTGTAGTCTGTTTTTGGTCAAAGAGAATGGAATAGTATCACAATAATTTATTAACCCAACTGTCAGGGTAGTGGAGATATAAGCATCTTAATATAACTATAAACCCTTGTGGTTACAAATGTATTGTTCGTGAGAAACGTGTTTACTTCCACACTACCGCCATCTACCATCAGTCTATGAACATGACTCATGCAACTTAGCAGAAACAAATGCCCGCGACTCCGTCCGCGTTGAATTAAAAAAAAAGCAAAGTGAAGCCTATGTGTTTTTCCAGACTATCCTCTACATCTGTACCAAATTTCATCGAATTCCGTTCAGTCGTTTAGGCTACAAACTCTAACAAACATCCATCCATGGAAACTTTCGCATTTATAATTATTATGAAGTATCGCATCAGTTCACAGACTATTAGTCCTCGAAAGAATCTGCAAAAGTCATCAAACCTCTCTATTGAGATGGCTTAAACCAATGTTTAAGATATGAAAATTTTCTTGGCGCAGACATTTCTCTCAATAAATTCTTTAGATCCTTTTCTGACATCAAATGTTAAAATGCATTTCTGTTTCCTCTTTTCAGTTATAAAGTTTACAATGTGAAATTCAATAATATAGAACAAGAAGATAATTTCTACAAAATTAAAAACGAATTTATTGATTACTGGCGTAAACCATCTCTTAAGTATAACACTGTTGGTCAGGCTATGGTACCTCCAGCACAAACGAATTGGTTCGAAGAGGGACTTACTGAACTTGGTGTGGCAAAAGATATTTATATTGATGATGTTTATAAGTAAGTTAATTAATTAATAAGCCTTTATTTGTTACAACATTTTACAATACATTTTATAAATAGATGTGTTATACAAATATCATAAATAAGTAATTATTGTCATGACCCCTGCCGGTTATAGGCCTCCTCCATTTGATACCACTTTTCCCTGTTTGTAGCGGCTCTAGTCAATCCTTTCCCTGCTATTTTTATTATGTCATCTTGCCGGGCTTTGGGTCTTCCCCTTGTTCTTTTTCCAGATCGCGGCCCTTTCCATAATGTTTTTCTCTTTTATAAGTAAGTTACTTGTACTTAAGCATTGACACATAATTTGAATACGTTTGTTCAAGTCCCGTTCATCATATCTCTGTCCTTATCACACACATGTAGAGTCAGACCTAATTTTCGTTCACCAGATCGACCTCTCTTTCATCATCTCGGTACTCCGTTCTATTATTTTCTATTATTTCATTCATCTCTTATAGTTTTAGCAATCGAAATTTGACCGCATTCAGGGCCCCATGTGTTTTTACATAATAGTTTTATCAATTTTATCTCAAACCACATTACAGCACAAATGTACTGATAAATTTGTTATTTATTTATTTATCTTTTAATTATTTATTTATCTTATCTTCTAATTAAGCAAACACTATGGGTTTTCCCACATTTTTGAGTCTTGTTTTCTTCTTTGATTAGAGATGTATAAGAAATCATTCTGTACTGGCTTAATAGTTTTACTAGAAATATATACAAGGAGGTCTTTCTCGTTTATTTCACATTTTCAAAATTTATTTCTGAACGAGACATTTTACTTATTAAATAATAGAGCTATCAAATTTAAAAATCAATGTAACACGTGCGTACATTTGCAGGTACCTATCGACGAGAGAAGAAGCGTCTTCCGACATACTAAGAAGTGGTGATAACAACACATTTACTTTCAATGATTACTATCGTTATTCACAGGTAATTTTCTTATCAGATATGTTCAAAATCCTAATTATAATTTTTTACTATAAAGCTGTAGAACCATCTTGAAACCACTAACGCCATCTATTATCTATTAACAGACGATTGAAATACAGCGCCATCTAGTGACACTTTTCAAAGACATACCATAGACTACAATTTAAAAGTATGGACACTTATTTTAATTTATTTTTTAGATACTAGATTATATCCGAGCACTTGAAGCGACATATGAAAACTCAACGGGGATAAATTTAAGTGTAATAGAAGCTGGTACTACAGCTGAAGGAAGACCTTTAGTATACATAAAGCTAACAAATCTAACACCAACAGTCAATAAACCTATTATAATTATAGAAGCCGGCATCAATCCTAGACAATGGATTACTATACCTTCATCGTTGAATATTATTAATAAACTTTTAGAAAGTAATGACACTAGATTTCTAAATAACTTCGAATGGGTCATTATTCCAATATTAAATCCTGATGGGTATGAATATACCCATACTAATGTAAGTATTAATTTCATTAGCGAAAACGATACAAATATAGAAGTACTCAAAAATACTTTAACAGTGGTAGAGCTCGCTGTAACATCTTCGCACGAATGGGTCAATACCACGACCACACAGAAGACAGGCGTGAAGTGGAAGCAATTCCGCGTTTCGTCTGATGAGTGTGGTACCAGAGTTTTTAGTCCCTTCCTTCTCCGCCATTTTCTTACAAGGAAAGGATTGGATGGGAAAGTGGATTTGACAGTGGAGGAGACGCATAGGTATGGGAAATATCTTCTTTATGTTCGTCTCCTCCTCCGTCGATTAAGGGTAGACAACGAATCTGCAATTGCGGATGTCTATGGGCAGTGGTCGCTTTGCCATGTTGGCGGATTTAGGTGGCCGCTTGCTCGTTTGTCACCTTATTGTATAAAAAATACTAGATCATTTGAGGTTAGATGACTAAAGTAACTTGGTACTTTCAGCTACGTTTATGGACGAAATCAAGAAGTACTAGAAGCAATTTAGGTGCTATTTGTCCCGGTGTGAATATAAATCGTAACTTCAACATCGATTGGCTCAATTCAGACACAAGTTCAAGTCCATGCAGTCACATTTATGGTGGTACTGGTGCATTTTCTGAAGTAGAAAGTCGTGTAATACAATCATTACATGATGAATATGGTAGAAGAATACGTGCTTATATATCTTTGCAAAATAATGGTGGGTTTATATCTTACCCTTGGCAATATGAAAGAGCTGCAAGTGGTTTGTTTGCCCAGCATCATATTTTAGGAATGAAAATGATTGAAACTATGGAGGATAACTATGAACTGGATATAGCATCAGTGGCTTACGGAGATAGGGCGTCAGGAACAAGTACAGACTATATGAGGAATGGTGGAGTACTATTTACCTTTAATATAGATGTGGTACCAAGAGGTCAAGATGGAGTTATTGTACCTAGAGAAGAAATTCAAACTATAGCTGATGATGTATGGAGAGCCGTGTCAGTCGTTGCTGTGAATTTGTAATAGAATAATATAAGGAATATTTTAGAAGGAAATAAAATAAGATTTAGAAGATTTTGTGTTTAATTTCTCATTCAAGGTCAATTTGAGGTCACTAAAGGGACTCTACGTTATTTAGATTCTCTTTTTAGAGACTCTACCTTTTGTGGGTGAGGATGTAAGAATAATAAATTTGTGAGTCGACTTTCTGTAGTGTAAAAACACCATAGAAAGTTTTTAATCGCTCTCAGAATTTGCTGTCCCACTTTATTTCTGATGCGGACGAAAATTCAGATTAAAGCGTAATAATGAATACCTCAATTAACGCGCGCCACAAAACAGCTGAAGTTTAATTAGAAGGCCCTCTGAACACTCTCTGAAGGGTGTTGGTTGTTGTAGAAACTTTGAAAAAGTTTATCCACAAAAAACTTGTATTACGCTTAAAAAATCTATACGCAGATCAGATCAAAAATTTAACGTATATCTGGTGCATGACGACAATTTTTTTAGTAACAGCGCCATCTAGTAGTTTTATTATGTAACTTTTAAACGAAATAAGTTACATTTAAAATTATTTAATTACAATCTTATGTCAATAGCTTATTAATAGAATCTTAAAGAAATTTAACTAAAGGCATATTAGAAGCATATTTTTTTTAAATTAAAGTCTCTTAAATTTTAAATCATACTAATATTATAAAAGTGAAAGTTTAGATTGATGGATGGATGTTTGTTAGAGTTTGTAGCCTAAACTGTAGCTCGATGAAATTTGGTATAGACGTAAATGGTAGTCTGGAAGAACACATAGGCTACTCACTTTTGTGTTTTTTTTTTAATTTCACGCGGGCGGATTCGCGCGCGAAGTCTAGTATTTGATACGTCATTCCAACAAGATAACTGTTACCCAATATACTAATGGAGTTCCCTTCCCTCGCCCCTTATTTAATAAAGGAGGCACATTCCTTAAATGTAATCAATAGTACTTAAACAAAGTTAGTCAACTTTAATATAGATAATTTGTAACCGACCGAAGTTCATTACAACTTCCAAGTTAGAATTAATTTAATTTCCGTCTTGGTTACATCCGCTTTCGTTAATCTTTGTTTAACATCAAGGAAATGTTTTGATATATTGATAATGATTTTCTAAGCCATTGGAGATCGAGAATATTATAAAAAGGGTTAGCAGTTAGCTAGAAGTCGTCGATAAATACGATAGAGCTTCGAATTTTAAAACTGAATAAAGAAGGTTAGGCTGAAGGAGTTTGTATAGTTTTAGCATTTCACCTAAAACTATAGAAACTCCATCGACATATGGTCCTTCGAGCCGGAAATAAAATTTTATTTCTTCTTTTTCACAAATGGCATTTAACCTAAAACTATAGAAACTCCATTGACATATGGTCCTTCGAGCCGGAAATAACATTTTATTTCTTCTTTTTCACAAATGGCATTTAACCTAAAACTATAGAAACTCCATCGACATATGGTCCTTCGAGCCCGAAATAAAATTTTATTTCTCCTTTTTCACAAATGACATTTAACCTAAAACTATAGAAACTCCATTGACATATGGTCCTTCGAGCCGGAAATAAAATTTTATTTCTTCTTTTTCACAAACGGCATTTAACCTAAAAATATAGAAACTCCTTCGACAGGTTATAAGAATTAAATTAAAGAATTATGAAGTCATAGAGCCGAACTCGATAATAGATTCTAAGTATTTGTGTTTATATTTTTTAACAACAATCTATGAGAAAGATAACAAATATAATTCAGTCTAAATTTATATAAATATATTGTTTATTGCGATTTGATCAGTAATTTTTTTTAAAGGCCATAAATCTACTCTCCATGATTAATTCTTGTTCAAAGTAAAAAGATATTGTTTCTTTCATGTCACTAGATGGCACTTTTACAAACTTGTCAACCAACGAAGCGATGCCGGCAACTGTAATTTTTGTTTCTGTTTTATCTGCTGTTATTGAAAAGGATACTTTAGAAAACCACTGAATCCTTAGATTTAACGTTGTTTTCGTGGTAAAATAAAAACAATGCGGGATTTCTCCTGTATCGACTTTTCCCTTAACCTCTATAAATAAGTACACGGAATGAATATTTTATGCGAGAGCCAAAGAACTGTGCGGTTTGTTTTGAATATCTAAAAAGATTTTAGTTATTTTTCGTAACAGGTTTGTAAAAAAGTATTTTTATATAGAAGTCCTTGAATTAATAATACACTTAGATTATCTAAATATTTAAAAACAATACGTTTATAAAAAAAAGAAATCTACCACGTTATAAAACCACTAAACAGATGATATGGGTATGTTTTTGGAACAATAGAAAATCTTTTTGCCGCAAAACTATAAATGGAATAATAGTTTTCGTTTCTTCTAATCATTGCACTATAAAATTGTACATTATTTTTGTTTTTTACTAGCTTTTACCCCCGACTCCGTCCGCGTAGAATAAAAAAAAATAAGTAGCCTATGGCTTCTTCAAGATTATACTCTACGTCTATGCCAAGTTTCATCGGGATCCGTTCAGCAGTTTAGTCGACAAACTCTAACAAACATCCATTCATCCATTGATCTAAACTTTCGCATTTATAATATTAGTATAAGTTTGATAATGAAACAAGATTAGTTCGTAAATAATAATTCAAATAGAAGTCTATTTACTCATCTCCCGGTTTTGATTGCCGGTAGGACGCACCAAATATAGGCTTTCATAATGGTCCTTTCCTGAAATATTACGAGGAACGCATTCCCCGGAAGTAACAATGTCGACACCGGGACATAAATTCTTACGTAAATCTTACAAAGTTGACAGGGAAAAAGAATTTTGGTCTCGTAAACGGTCGAATACTGAAACCAGCCAAAGAACACATTTGACTAAACTATTGTGCAACAGTTCTGCGATTGTCAATTGTTTCATTAGTGTTCTCACCTCCAATAAGCTCATAGGAATCAAAGCGCGACTAAACAGTTGTGCGATAGTTTAGTCGAAGGTGTAATTTACAGCCGAATACTGAAACATCATGTTAGAGGGTGTTAAATGATAAAGCCACGCTTAAACTCCAAATTACTTTGAAATAACGTTTATCAGATTGTAAATAGGACTTACAAATCGAATTATTTAAGTTTCGTTTCAATATTTAGCCGTTGTTTATAAGTAACCTTATTTATGCTGGGTTTCTTAAGTTTACATTTATTTAATTATTACCTAGTAATTCATTATTGTTAGGTTTGCAAATTTCAAGCAAATAAAACTCAAGTTACGTAGTTCAGAAACGCATTTCAAGAATTTATCGAACCAAAAACTCTAACGAATGGGAAACTTAGCTGGGAAACCATTAATCGCAGGTATATTTAAATGTCCTTTCGATATTCGGCCATTACATCTACGAGTATAATGAAAGATATTACTATATTTTTTATTAAACTATGAAAGTACTGTATTATCGTATTTATGCCTTCAGAAACCCTCTAGGGTCATCTATATACAAATAGATAAAGAATATGAAAGCAAATAAACCAATCTATTACATAAGAATAGTCTTTCGGCAGCGAAAAACCTGTCACCGCGGGAAAAATAACGCTCGCATTGTAATGGAAGACTCGTGTTAAATGACTTCGCATCACGTGGATGCTTTGAAAAGGTAACTAAGTATAAAACACAAACTAAGAAATAGATTAATACGAAAATATCCTAAATAAACAATTGAAATTAAATCTAGTGGCCGCTAGCACGTTTTATACCTCTACCAAAAATATTGTGAGAGCTATTTAAAGAATCCGGCAAGCAAATTTTACTTGGTGTCGATTAGTACAGCGCCATCTATTGTTAATGAGTGGAATCGAAGCATTTAGCAATTAATCTATCTACCATATACATGTAATAAAATTGAAGTGTCTGTTGGTAATATTAAAAGAACATTTCCAGATTTCGGGAAGATGTATCTGCGTTGCTGATAACGAAAATCGCATTAAAAAAATGTCTGTCTGTTTGTCAGTCCGCGCGTTTGTTCCTGGTAATCTCCGAAGTTACTAGGTCGATTTTAACCAGACTTTCCTCAAGGGTGGCTGACATAGACGGGCATGTAGGCTACTTTTTTTTAATTCTGCGCTGTCAAAATGGCATAACGGGTTTGCGCTAACTAAGGTTGCGGGCGATAGCTCGTTTTAAAATAAGTTGTTCGAAAATTTTTGACTAGTGCTGATATTGGAAAGAATATCATTAGAGTTTAGACAATACACTAAATTATTAAAATATTTCATTTTATTTGATAAATTTGGTAATAATAAAAAAGAAAAATGTCCGCTAAGGTATTCCATTTGTCAATTTGCCATACATTTAAAGGCGAGCTCTGTAAAATATTCCGGTCATGGTCGCCGTCTATTCTCGGAATGTGAAAAGCTGACTTGAGCCGTAGAAAGGCGTGCATTATGTGTTCAGTCAACGTAAGCACTCCAAACACGAGTTACTTCTATGACGGTAAGACAAGTAAAATGTTGAATTGCTTGTTGAAAATGTTTTATAATTTTGCTAAAAACACAACTAATTAAATGTAATAATTTAGAAGTGTCTTGTTTAGTTGTAAAATATAAAACTTAACTATATTTAGACTTGGCTCTAATCTTTATTGACATCATTGAAAAGTCCCAATCGACGGTTGCGAGTTACTCTTCCTCTAAATGTCTAAATTGACTGGACTAGATAAAATTTCAACATAAGTAAATTTTAATAATTGTTTAAAAATAAGCCAATTTATTAAGATCTAAAAATAGTGACCATTTTCATTGTTTTGTTGTTATAATTAAATTTTGACGGTTTCGGAATTGTTCTCAATTTCCGTTCAAAGTTTTGTTTTCGGTCTTTTGATCTCAATCGAAATTAATTTCAATCAAAACTGGTTTCCCGTTGTTTTGTTTAGAGAATAAATAACTCGATTAAAATATGCAAAATCTTATATCTGATAATCTAAAGGACCTTTATACCTTTAGCCGCATGAAATTAACCGCTTATGAAATCTTATTTTTTTTATAACATAAGGTGGCAAACGAGCAAGCGGCCACCTGAAACCGCCAAAATGGCTAAGCGACCGCTGCCCATAGACATCCGCAATTGCAGATGCGTTGCCTACCATTATACGACGGAGGAGGAGACGCATATAAAGAGGACATTTCCCCTTCCTATGCATCTGATCCACCGTCAAATCCACTTCCCCTTCCCAACCTCTCCTTATAAGAAAAGGGTGGTAAAGAGAAAGGGACTTAAATTAGGCCTCCGGTACCACACTCATCAGACGAAACACGGAATTGCTTCCATTTCACGCCTGTCTTCTGTGTGGTCGTGGTATTACACCGGGCGTGCCGGCCCTGCAGTGCTAAAATGTTAAAGCGGGCACTACCACTGTAATAAATCAGGAGACCACTAATGTACTTATTAATATTATGAAGAGGTTTGTATTTTAAACTACCTATAAAAAAAATTATTTTGCCATTAGAAAGCTACACTAATACGTATTTTTAATTGTATTTTAAGTATTAATAAAAACGAAATTAACAATTTAACAGGAGGATGATCAATAAATGTCGCATAATTTAAATAATTATTTCGTCAACTTACTCGAAAGATTTTCAAATTTGTTCGGAATTACTGGCTTTACTTTCAATAAAGATGGCTTTTAGAATCCCATTACATTAAGATTGAAGTTCGTCGAATCGAAAGATATTACATAAATATATGAATATTCACATTTTTTTACTGACAGGTGTCGTGTGTAAGTGTGTATGACTCTATCGAGGTCCACTTATCCTATTTTGGTTTTAAATGTCATTCTATTTAATTTCAATCAAGATCAATTTTTTTTTCATTAACATAGATATTGAATAAATTCAAACTAAAGATTTGTCAAATATTTTTTTCGTACTGTGTGATTTTAATAGCAATCAAAATTTTAAATAACGTTTACAAATGATTGCTATTAATTTTCATATGTCCTTATTCCACTAACGTCCTTAACGCTTGCAACCCTTTCAGGAAATCCATCCATCTCTTTCTAGGCCTACTCCCAATATGAACGCTTTTCCCTTTGTAATCTTACTAATATAATAAATGCGAAAGTTTAGATGGATGGATGGATGGATAGATGGATGAATGGATGGATGTTTGTTAGCGTTTGTAGCCTAAACGGATGAACGGATATCCATGAAATTTGGCACAGGTTTAGAGCATAGTCTGGAAGAACACATAGGCTACTTTTTATCCCTGGAATAGTTACGGTTCCCGTGGGATTCATTAATTTAGTTATTTAATGTTTACTCGATCATTCTGCAACGGTGCAACATATCTTATTGGAATTTGACACAGATATAAAACAAAGTCTGGAGTACACATGGGATAAGCTTCATCCCCGAGAAATGTCCGGTTCCCGAGGGATACGTAGCTTTTTGTAATTTTTATAGTTTGTATGTTTTCTAATACCACGCGTACGAAGTCGCGGGCAATAGCTCGTTAATTATTTAAAAACAATACACTATAGTGTAGTAGCGCACATTAAATTGCACTCGGCTGCAATATGATAATTCAAGACGTTATAATAAATCCCGGGCCAGGGATAATAATTCACCAAGTCTGCAGCACGGATGCAATGCTAATCAAAATTCATTGAGAAGTTTGAGCACTCGGCTTACAGCGCATTACCATTCAGAAGATGTTGGCTTCAACAATAGTGATGTTCTTACACTAACTATCGATATTCGATAACGTTAAAAATTAATTAAGGACATCATCATCTTACTTTAATCTGTTCATTTAGAGCGAGACACAGAGGTAGAGAGAGGAAGATTTAACAGTACAGTATTATGTTTTGGTGGTAATGATTCGGTTGTAAAAACCCACAGTATTGACTTCATTCAAATAAAGAATTGTCTGACCTTGATGTACTTACTGTTATAAAATTGATTTTCGAAAGGATTAAAATAATAGAAATAAAAAACAAAAATAAATATGTGCGTTTCATTAATAAATTAAAAAAACTCAGTATTCAGTTATCTAGTCTTTGTTGCTTCTGGTGTGCTGCAGAACGAATCTAGCACCAGCCTTAATACCTTCCCAGGTTTCCCTTCCAGCTTGTTCGATGAAAGCAGGGTCAACAAGGAAACCATTCAGACCGCCTGAGTTTGCGCGCGCTGGCAATTCATAAGTGTAAGCCAGAGGTACTCCAACCGCTTGAACGTAATCGTTAGCACTTCCTGAATCCCTGTATGATAGGATTAGAGCCGAGTTACCAACACGGTAGTTGGGTTTGGATGACCATTTGACAGCATCGATAGCCTGTGCCATTCTTACACCAGCGACGTTAAGAGTTAAAGCATTAGCGGGCAGGTCACCAGTACCGTAAGCGTAAAGAATCATACTTCCGAAGCTGTGGATGTCGATGAATAGCTCAATACGGTTCCTGAGTTGCTGGATGATGTTGCGGAGGACGACAGTTTCGGGTTCAGAGAAGGGACCTGCGCCGTGGAAGGTGTCGGAACAAGGAGAGTTGCTGGACAAGGTACCCCATCTGTAGTCGAAGTTACGGTTCAGGTCGACTCCGAGGCAAATGTTGCCGATCATGTGGCCAGTTGAACGGTTTTTCCTCCAGAACCGAGTCTGAAAGCAAAGCAAATATGTAGTTAGTACCTTTATTGTATTATGTGTGGAATGTATGTGGAATTAAAAAAAAAAAAACAAAAGTGAGCCTATGTGTTTTTCCAGACTATCCTCTATATCTATGTAAAATTTCGTCGAGATCTGTTAAGCCGTTTGGGCTAAAAACTCTAACAAACATCCATGCATCCATCCATCAATCCATCCATCTAAACTTTCGCATTTATAAAATTAGTAAGATCCTTTAAAGATACGTACGTTTGTGTGGCTGAACTCGTAACCATCAGGGTTGGCGATAGGTAAGATGATCCAGTCAATATTGTTAACCAAATCTCTGTCTGTGATGTCGACAACCAATTTTCGAATGGCGTATAAAGCAGCGGGTAAAGTCACCCATTCACGGGCGTGCAGTAAAGATTGAAGAACAATCACTGGTTTACGGTTATTCTGAAATCAAAGTTTCAATTAATTCAAGATTTTTTTAGAGTTTTAGTTGAAAATTTAGTTTCTTAAGATTTATTTACCTGGAAGTTGGTTGTTGATATCCTCAAGTATTTAATGTCGCGACCTTCGAAACTTCTTCCTCCAGAAACAACTGTCACGGTCGAGTATTGCCGAGCCAAGTTAGTAAGATAAGCATCGACCTTAAAACGACAGAATTTAATTAGGCTGATTATGAGTTTATACTTAGAAGTTATAAGACTCAAAATCGTACATATATCGTAGTTAACATAACTGATATCAAAATTAAATAATAATTATTTGTGAACTAGTTTTCGCCCGCGAGTCCGTCCTCGTGGAATTAAAAAAACAAAAGCGAGTAGCTTGTGTATTCTTTCAGGCTATCCTCTACATCTATATGAAATTTCATCGAAAACAGTTCTGTTGTTTAGGCTACAAACTCTAACAAACATCCATAATCCATTTAACCATTTGCATTTATCATATTAGTATAATTAGTAATTGAATTCTTTGCAATGTCGAATAATAAAATAAGAAGAAAAGGGGTAATTAGCAGTAGTTAATGATCCATTTGGTAAAAATGAAGATTACTTATCATCACCAGCTCACTATACATCCCCACCGAGGGGCTCGGAGCCTACCCTAAGTTAGAGTGACTAGGCCATAGTCAACCACGCTGGCCCACTGCGGGTTGGTTGACTTCACACATATCTTTGAATTTCTTCGCCGATATGTGCAGGTTGCATCGCGATGTTTTCCTTCACCGTAAGAACGTCAGATAAATTATGTACGTATGAAAATTCGAAAAATCGAAAATCACATTGGTACAGCGGGATTCGAACCCAAGACCTGACTTAAGATATTCAAGATTACTTATATTTGATGGTAATTCAAATTTGATATAATAGTAAGCGGAAATAGATATGCACTTATCGATTTTAATACCGATTTACTACATATGGTTTATCTTCTTTGTCTTGATAAACGTTTTAGATGGATTTTTATTTGATAGAACTTACCGCTGCGTAACGGTGGATAACGTCAAAGGAGAGCCGGTTGTCGGTTCCATTGCTGTGCGCTACTGCGGCAGATAAAAGTTCATCTTCCTTCTCCAGCATCCTGTAAGGTTTTTAATTCACAGTTTTGAAATGTATAAATTACCCTTTTCTGCCAATTTTCATTTAGAGACCGCGGCCGCGGTTTCTCACTCACGGAAACGCACACATGGAAACGAAAGTACGACGCGATGACGCGTCGCAGCTATGGCGGACAGTGTTGCCAACTCCCGATTATGATAAGCCGCAACATACAATTAAGTTTAAAAATATACGAGGGATCTATTTATAGCAGACTGTTATTTATATATCTGATATTATAAATATGAAAGATTTGTTATTTATTGAAATAATTCAAAAACTACTGGACCGATTTCGAAATTCTTTCACCATAATAAAGATACGTTATCAGTGAGTAGCATAGGCTATATTTTTTAATTTCACGAGACCGACGTCGCGATCAACAGCTAGTAATTCAATATTGTTACTAACAACTTCTTAACCTTACCTATAAAATTGACTATGCTTTTATAACATCTGGCGACCGGAGACCGGAGCCCTAATTTTGGTCCCTTTCCCTTTCCACCCTTTTCTTAAGAGAAAAAGTTGGGAAGAAAAAGTGGATTTGACGGTAGAGGAGACGCATAGAAAGGAGAAATTTCTTCTTTATGTGCGTCTCCTCCTCCGTCAATTAAGGGTAGGCAACGCGTCTGCAATAGCGGATGTTTATGGGCAGCTGTCGCTTTTCATTTCGGTGGATTCAGGTGGCCGCTTGCGAGTTTGCCACCTTATATTATAAAAAAAACCACTAAAAATTATCTAGTTATTTTAGTTACACAATGATCATGTCACTTAACAACTTGGTTAACAGTTCCCAATTCGTCGATTAACTTGTGTTTCTTGATTTAGTTAAAATAAGGTTTCTTATTGCTAGTCGTTCTTAATAAATCACTTACTCAACAACATTCTCCACTTCAATTTTGAAGGTAGCTCCAGCAGCATTGATTTGATTATGGAAATAATCCCTCATGGAACCAGCGACCAACACAAGTCCAGGTCTAGCTGGGGTCGCGTACGACCACATGTCTATGCCCACAACATTCTCCAATGCGTGTACTTTTTGCGCTTGCTGTGCATCTGATACTGTCACTTCGTAGAGTACATGGCTGAAAAGAGGTATACGATACATGCTGGATAGTTTAAAAGCTTATTTAAACACGTCAAGCTGTGTAGAAACAGATTTCCTAAAGATTGGATAGCTTTTTCGTCTTGATCATCACCAGTTCACTATACGTCCCCGCTGAGTGCTTCGGAGCCTACCCTGAGTTAGAAGTCACTAGTCAACAACGCTAGCCAAGTGCGGGTTGGTTAACTTCACACATATGTTAAAATTTGTTCGCCGATATGTGTAAGTTTCATCACGATGTTTTCTTTCATCAGAACGTCGGTTAAATTATGTACATACGAAATTCGATGATCACATTGGTACAGCGGGATTCGAACCCAAGGCCTGTATCTACAATTTAAGTGCTCAAACCTCTGAGCCACTTATCGTATTCATTGAGCTTTTCGTCACTTATCGGGTTTAAATAAATTTTAACTACTATTGACTATATAATTCCCACTTACCCAGCATACTGTTCGTGTTTAGCAAACGCCAAACAGAAAGTCAGTGATAGAATAAATGCAGCTTTCAGCATTTTGACCAACTTCCGCTTCGATCAAACAAACACCGACTGATCTGGCCTCTGAACCGGCCTTATATTTTAATGTACGGTTATTATACCTTTATCTACAAGATTACGTTATTACCTTATAAGTATTATTATGAATTGACCAATGTTTTATTACGAATCATATATTTAATCTATTAAGAACGTTACTGGTAACACGCCCAAATAAATATAAATACTGTCGTTCTTTCTGTCTACAACTAAACGATAAAGCCATCATATTACTTATTATGCTTAAAGTTACCAAGCATAATAGTTACAAACATAAATTACAAAGAATTTTATGCAACTTGTTGCTTTTAAAATTTTTAAAAGTAAATTTACTCACGTGTGATAACGCGGGCAACAGCTAGTTGTGTAGTTTGATAGTGTAACATATAAAAGTGGGCAATACTAATTTATTTTTTATAGTACCAATTATAATACTAAAGCTTTAGGAAAAGATCTACCACTCGGCTTCAGGGTTATCGAATCGTATGTTCCGTTGCTATGCAACCAACGTTAATTTTTTTTAAAAAGGTGGCAAATGAGCAATTGTCACCGGATTGCAGAGTATTAGTGAAGTGACCGATGCCCAAATTTAGCGTGCTTTTGTTTCTACGGAGAGTTGGCACAGTATGTACTGCTATATACATTTCTATCAGCCGTCATATCTGAATTGACTCCCTTCTTAACCATATACTCTTGCACAAAGCCCATTCATACTTTTTTCAGTTTTCCACCTTTGTCAGCACAATCAACAATCGCACAACTGTTGTACCATTGTCGATTGTTTCGCTGGATATTCAACTGTTTAGTTGCACAACTAAAAATCAAGTAGTGTCCGCATCTCCATGTAATATAATAATGAAAGAGCGACTAAACAGTTATGCGATAGTTTAGTCAAAGGTGTGCCTGCTTTAATGCTTTCTTGTTTATGTGATCTTCATTTTCCTCATATGTTACCACGCTAATCTTTGCTTTTTAATTCCTCTACATAGATAATATTCGTAAATACAATTACCAAATTATTCAAGAACTCTCCGAGTGTCAAATTTTCATCTCTTGCTGTTTATAATGATCTCTTTTTGTTATTGAATTATCTTCGCTCCATCGAACTGGAATAACGAACATAAATTTACTTTACGGTTTAGTTTTACCTATCAATATTATATAAGCTTTTCGTAAACAAATTAAATTTTGATTCCGTTTTCTAACATCATCAAAAACAGCTAGAGTGTAAAGTGACCAAACCAAAGATCTGTTTCCAATGCAAATTATAAACAAACTGCATTACGTTCTAACTCATAAATAAAATTCCAAAACATTTCTCACTAGCTGTTGCTCGTAACTTTGTCTGCGGGGACTTATATAAAATTGTAAAAAACATGTTACTCAGTAATAGCTTTTAAATAGTAAAGAATTTTGAAATCGGCCTAGAAGTTCTTGAGTTATTTCAATACTTGCAAAAATATTAATATTTCCACCTACTTGATGCAATACCACGACCACACAAAGGACGTCAAGTGGAATCAATTCCGCGTACAGATGGAGGCATTCAGAAGCACTTTAGTTTTCTTCCCCTTCTGACAAGAAAAGGTGGAAAGGGGAAGTGGATTAGGCAGGTTAGGATGTATAAATAGAGGAAATACCCTATTTCTGTGCGTCTCTTCTTCTGAATTATATGAACTTATTCTCCTATCCCATTTTACCATCGAACGTCGAGACGTACGGCTAGTTTCCATCCTTTATTAGTCGTCGAGCCACGGGTTAGAACGAAGCGATTCGAGACATCTTTTCTCGTGTGCACAGCAAAGGTTGCCGGCCTCAGTTTTCCCGTCCAGTTATGACGTGGGTGCCTTCAAGAGTAAGGTGAATTGGTACTTATTAAGCAAGCGCGCACCTACCCTTCGGTCGCGTCTTTACTTAGCTTAGGTGGAATCGTGGTCAAGCGCTGGTTTATTTATGTTAATAAAAAATCCGTTGGCCGCTTGCTCGTTTATCGCCTTATACTATGAAATATCCTTCTAAATGTTCTAAATATGCTAATATAGTCTTTAAAGTTAAAGTGTTAAGTAGCATAATGCTTTTTAATTATGTAAAGAGAATGTATTAAACGGTATCAAGCAAGCACTTTTATAAAATTCTTTTAAATCACAGCTTTAATTATCTGACGCTTTAAATTATTATGTACAGACATAGAGCAACTAGAAGGGACATGGTAAGTAATTTGTTTTATTTATGTGGTTTTTGCCTGGTTTAAATTATGCCATTGTAAGGCCAGTAGTACTCAAAATCAACGCTGATGACTGGCATAATGTAAATACTAACTGGAATAAAGACAATACAGTCCATGCCAGTCCTGCCCTATTGTCTCACTTTACTGATTCAAACTAGGTTTAAATATTTCGATTCCATTATGACCATAAAGGACTGAACAAATTGGCAACGAGACAAAATAAAAACTTCAATTTCATAAATAAAACTTTGAAATAGCAATAAATCTGACTAACGGAATACTAAACACGTCAAACCCTGTGAATACTGTAATTTTTCAAGATATTTCGGATTTAATCACGTTGTATCATGTTTTTTTGTTATTTCTAATTGTATTGTAGTGTTGATAAGAATTAAATGTTGTTTGACCCTCTTTATTTTATTTTTAAGGCAAACAAAGACAACTTAGTTACAAGAAAGGAGATCAGAATCGACATACATGGAACTCCTTACATACATCGCTTGTTGAAACTAAACAATATTCAATGCCACTTCTAGTTTTGATAACATAACTCTATGTTGAGATGGCAAGGATTCATTAAAATTTCTCATTTGACGGAGTCCCCAAGAAGCAAGACGACGGAAATTCTTCAAAGATTTATACTTTAGTTATAAAAATTTAATCTTTAGTGTAAAGGAATTTACAATGCAATAGTCAACTTTAAAGTAAATATCATATCTTAATCGCAGATACCTTTAAATTCTAATTTAAATGCATACTTAAATACATAATAACGGTAGCCACTTAACTCTGAGTATGGGTGTGAATAACAATCTTCCTAGTCATCATAAGAGCGGGAGCACACCTTAACTAAACTATGGCATAACAGTTGTGCGATTGTCGATTGTTTTGCAGCCAATTCAAATGTTTAGTTTTACAACTAAAAATCGAGTGTGCGACCTCCATATAAGATAATAGGAATCAAAGCGCAACTAAACGCCGGTGCAGATGTTTTCAACAACGCTTTTTGAAGCATAATTTGCTGTAATGACTTGTAGGTGCAATTGACAAAGTTTAACGGCCGAATCCTGAAACGATTATCAAACACTTTGCTACGAAAGCGTCGCTCAGAATCTGTTAGACGTCAACATTTTATTTGAATTTGGAGTTTATTGTGGCCTTATCAATTAAGACACTGTTTTCATATTTAAATATCGTTTCAATATTCGGTGACATTAAGGGTTTTTTAAGTTTCTCGATAGACAGTAAAATGGTAGCGTTATTTTGCCTTGTTATCTGAAGTCCCTTTTTAATGATTTACTTACGTAACGAATTCGTTTATCGTTAAAACTTCTAACCAAATTATGGCGACGTAAAAGTAAATTGAAAGGGATCAAACCAATAAGCGCAGAGCAATCGAATCGTTTACCTTGAAATGTACCTAAAAATAATATTTGAATAGGAATCAAACGATTGCTTTGAACGAGCCAATATTCTCACCTTTTCAACTCCTATCGGATTTCGAGGATTTCACTTCAATTTGATTTAAGTCAACGAATCTGTTCTAATTCTTTAATAATATTTCAACTTGTGATGTAAGTTAAAAACTTTCCAGTTTTAAGCGTAACTATGAACATTGTAAGAGCGGGCGCTTATCTGACTAAACAATCGCACGACTATTGCGATTGTCAATTGTTTCGCAATTCAACTGTTTAGTTGCACTACTAAAAATTCTTTCTAAAAAACTTCTTTTTAAAACACAGTTTGATACAGTAATTACTACTCTTATATTCTCTATAAGACATTTCTTTTTACTTCACTGTATTTTTACGCATATCTTCTTTCACATAATCCATGCACACTTTCTTCGGTTTTCTGCGACCTATGTAACCTTCCATGTCTTATTTTTATATCGTTTTATTTTGAATAATTTCACAAAGATTTTCTTAAATTTACACGTCTCGTATTAAGGTTTTTAATATATGCATTCATGCTAATACTTTTAAAATGAAAACGCAGTCGTAGAAGTTAAGCAATATTTCTTCATACAAATTTAAGCTGGTTCCCGAACAAGAACAAAACAGATTACTCCGAAGATCCGTCGTTGTTCGAGCTTAGTCTGATTGAGATTTACATATTTCTTACCTTAGTCCGCGGTGTATGTAAACTTTGGCATTTTAATTGAAATTTTCCTACAATTCCTTAAAGTTAGCTCAGTGCCCGATCAATTTTCAATTTAGAGTATTCTAGACGCGTTCGCGGAGGTACATAGGGTTGCTCAACTGTTTTTAGTTAAGATATCGATAAAATTTCACTGCTTGTTTTTCGGCGTATGATCAGCCCCCCTAGACAAAGTGACTTTCGATTAGCGATACCGCTTGTAGAATCGACAAAATGTCTCAAAATGTGTAGGAATGAATACGTGATAAGCACGTGACCTGCTTTGTCTAAGCAGACAGGTTACTAAAGAAAATCAATACAAGACCAAAAATACATTTTATTAAAAAAAAGAAATACTTTGTGGGCTCAGGACAACGTATCTTTTATTATAATAAATTACTTATTTAATCCAGTTTCCAAACAAATCTTTGGCTCTCCTGGCGCCAACCACAATACCCGCCCAGGTTTCCTTTGCGATCTGCTCAATTTCTGTAGGATCAGGATTGAATCCTCTAGTGTTATCCAAAACTCCAGGAAGTACCAAATTGTACGTTAAAGGTATTCCATTGTAATGAAGATAATCGACAGTGCTACCGGAAGTTTGCTGGCCAGTGACCAAAGCAGAATTACCAACGATGTACCGAGGGTAATTTGGTTTAGCATTCTGTTGAATTGCATTCGCAATAGATATGCCAACAGTTTGGAGGGCGAAGGCTTGTTGGGAGAGTGTACCATCATGTCCCCAGGAGTAGAGGATCTGGCTGCCATAGCTGTGTAAAGAAATGTACAAAACCGTACGGTAACCGAATTCTTCTAGGTTTTGTTGTCCGTATTGAACTTCTACTTCAGAGTGCACTTTGCTACCAGCGTAGTTGTCGTCGCATGGGTCGGAGCTTGTGCCAAATAAGTTCCAATAGAAGTCAAAGTTACTGTTAGCGTCTGCACCGGGGCACTCGACGCTCTTTTCGTCATTGTCCGTGGATCGAGTCTTAACCCATAAAGGATCCTGGAATAAAATGGTTAATGAATTAAAGACTACTGAGATTTGTGTTTGCTCTTAAATGTATGAACGTTGTAGAACTTTAATACTTACAGTGGTTCTAGAGTACTTATATCCATCAGGATTGACCATGGGTAGAATGACCCAGTCAAGTTCATCAATCAAATCTTGTTCAATAGCCTCGTCAACTAATTTACTGATCGCATACAAAGCAGTGGATGGACCGATCCATTCCCGGCTATGGATACCCGCATCAATAATAATAATAGGTTTCTCTGTTTCATCATCACTTGGTTTCGAGATTTTCAAAAGATTTATTGGACGACCTTCAAACGATGTGCCGTTCTGGAGAGTCACTAGATCTGGGTTTTTCTTTGCGATATCAGCAAGGTATGCATCAATCTGAAATTAATGAAATTCTCATTTAATTGTCACAATAACTATATTATTGACAATTATTAATGCATAAAAGTCATCAGATATTACAACTAATAAGTAATATATTAGGATTTATGGAGATAAATTTTATTTTAACAACTTTTAAAAATATAAGCGAGATGTTCTTTATTGCATACACCAAAGTATGATTGATTGAAGGACTTGGTGTTCTACATAATGTAAGAAGCCCACAAAATTATAGACCAAGGAGGCCGATAGATCTAAAATAATGTGTATTAATAGTATACCTCTTCAAGTTCCAAGTATCTGTCGAATATTGAAGTAGAGTCTTCATCTTTCGTAATACTTTTTCTTGCTTCAAGTTGGGCATCCTCAATGTCCAATTGTCTAAAAAAAAGTTTATGATCAGTTATTTTGGAATACTACTGTTTTAGGAATATTCTTTGGTATATGTTAGTGTTTAAATTGCAGAAGTTCATAATTTTAATGTAAATTCTGATAGAGTTTTCTCGTTTCTTCTACATAAATCTGATTTGAAATCTTGTTTCTCTGTTTCAAAATGTTTGTATGTATTTTTTTTTTCTCTTGAATCTGATGTAACGTAGATCAAATAACGCATGATTACTGCGCTCGTTTGGAAATTTATTAGGCGGTTAAATTTTTTTTCTTTTATCTATAAAATATTGATCCTTTAAATTCAATTAATTTATTTGACCTGTCATAAGTTAATCTTGATAAATACAACATTTTTAACTGCATAATCCGACCTAATTCCCACAATCGATAATATATCGTTCAAGATTAAAGGGTCATAAAAGTAATGTAAGTAAAATTATCATCTACAACAGGTAGTAAGGATTCCGTGTATTCTACAACTACATCGTACAAACTTTACAAGCACTCAATATGCTGTGGAGGGACAAAAATCTAAAATTTACACAAGTCTTGCTGACATTAACATTTTTAGGAAAATAATAGAATTCATGATGTAAAATCATAGCCCTTCGCGGTGTTCCACTTACAGAAAAAGTGCCTTATTCCTTGCAACAAGACTAAAGACACTTTTACAGAAACCCATAGATAAGGAGTAGCTGTGATTTCCTCAAACGACAGGATAATCTTACTGATTCTTACTTTAGATGGATGGATGGATGTTTGTTATAATGTAGCCTAAACTGTTAAATTGATGTCGACGAAATTTGGCATACATGTAGAAGAGAGTCTGGAAGAACACATAGGCTACTCACATTTGTATTTTTTAATTTCACGCGGACAAAGCCGCGGGCGAAAACTACTGTATTAAAAATCTATCGGCCGTGCTATGACCATCAAAAAACTTAAAAAAAAAACTCCAAAAACACTCACGCTTTAACATCGTTGACATGGACAGTGTAGGCAATCGTCTGATCAGCTAGTTCTCTCAGGAATACGTCGTTATATTGCGGTTTTACTAACACCACGGCATTGCGACCGACGCTTGCTTTGCTAATGAAGTCCAGTTTGTACTTCTGGACTATTGAAGTCAAAGACCGCAGTTGCGTTTGATCGGATGGTCTCACGTAGTAAGATTTCCATCTGAAAATAAATAATACCATGAGTGGCTACTGTCATGTGATTGCTGTCGCTGGTCTTTCAAAGATAATGAAAAGGATGGCTATATTGTTGTTATACAGCCTCTGTCTCCTCATCGTTACTATCCAGAGATTTAAAGTACGAACTATTCCTTTTGCCGATGAATTGTAATTTGAAATGCACGTCTTGAATATGCAGTTATATTATATTTCTGTTTTGCAGTTCTTTTGTTTTTAAATTGATTTTTGGATTTTAATGAACTTGAAAACAAAACTAGTTGATAAATCTAAAATAGAAAACAAAACAACTGACCCTTGATATTGTTCATGCTTGGCGTACGCCACAGCGAAAAGCGCAACCAACGTTAAGACTCTCATCGTTGTTAATGTTTACATTAACTATCATAATTTCGCTTATATAATCAAGAACTGATAATGTACAATCATCCACACAAGTTTTGATACAACGACTTACATATTTAGCACCGGCTTATATCGTATTTATTACTTTACTAGCTGTTGCCCGCGACTTATTTCGCGTGGTATTAGAAAACATACGAACTATATAAATAACAAAATGCTACGTATCCCTCGGGAACTGGGCATTTCTCGGGGATGAACTTTATCCCATGTGTACTCCAGTCTTGGTTTTATATCTGTGCCAAATTTCAATAAGATATGTTGAACCGTTGCAGAATGATTGAGTAAACAGCAAAAAACTTAATTATTGAATCCCACGGAAACCGTAACTATTTCCGGGATAAAAAGTAGCCTATGTTTTCTACCGGACTATGCTATAAACCTGTGCCAAATTTCATGGAGATCCGTTCAGCCGTTTATTCTACATTCATCCATTCGTCTAAACATTCGCATTTATAACATTAGTACGATTTGTTAAAATTTTTTATCTAACCTACCTTTGTTGTACGTACTTCTGTGGATTCCTTTACTTGTAGTTATAAAGAAAAAATATCTTTTTATGTCTTAGCTTTAGCTTCATGGTTAAGCCAAAGTTTTAACCTCGATCCTATCCCGCCATTATTAAGGAAAGTATGGGAAGTGTCAAATAATTTGATTTGCATTTCAACTACAGATGTCTATGTGCAGAGTAACTTTGCTATTTAGTGTGGCCAGGAGGTAATTGAATCGTTTGCCACCTTAATAAAGAAAAATTGCTAGAAATTCAAATATAGAATTGGAAAAGAATCTTTTTCGATTAGGTTATTATTTTGACTACACGGATGTATTATATCAATTAGTAAGGCTGGATTAATGATTAATTTTTATATCTCAAACAGTTTTATTACTCAAGATTAAAAACTATGGACTAAAAATAAAGAAAACACAACATTTTAGTACAGATAATCCAGCAGTCAAGACACCTTAAAACCTAATTCGTATGGAGTAATTAATGGTCAATTATAGCAATTACTGGGCTCAGTGGTTTAAGCACTTGACTTGTAATCGACAGTTCTAGAGTTCGAATCCCGCCATGTACCAATGCGATTTTAGATTTTTTGAATTTTGATTTGTATATAATTTAACCGACGTTCTTAGCGTGCGTTCGCACGGGCAGACTTTGTACGCCGCGGTAAAGTTCAAGGTCAGCAGACTTTTTACGCCCACGAGATAGGTGTTCGT